GCCATCGCTAGTAGGATGGAGGCCATCGCTCTTAGGTTGGAGGCCATGGCTAGTAGGATGGAGGCCATCGCTAGTGGGGTGAAGGTCATCGCTACTGGGGTGGAGGCCATCGCTAGTAGGATGGAGGCCATCGCTAGTGGGGTGAAGGTCATCGCTAGTAGGTTGGAGGCTATCGCTATTAGGTTGGAGGCCATCGCTGTTAGGTTGGAGGCCATCGCTATTAGGTTGAAGGCCATCGCTAGTAGGTTGAAGGTTGGAGGCCATCGCTTATTAGGTTGAAGGCCACCCGTAGTTGGTTGGAGGCTATCGCTAGTAGGTTGAAGGCCATCGCTACTAGGTTGGAGGCCATCGCTAGTAGGTTGGAGGCCATCGGTACTAGGGTGGAGGCCTGCGTCTTCCAATCTTTTGCTTTGTGCTCTCGTCGATTCACCCCAAAGACATGTATAGTGACCTGCTGAAAGATAGAATATTCCGTCGCGAATTTGAACTAGACAGAATACGGTTTACCTTGGATAATTGCGGGTAAGAGATAGAATATTTCCCTTACTAATCAATTCTTTTTTTCAGCACGTGGACAATAGCTTGCAGAACAGGTCCAGAACAGTCCAAAACCCTTCGTTTAACCGCTTGCACACTGACATTTTGACATCACTGCACGGACTGCGTACATCCCCGCTGTGCACTCTCACGAGCTGCACAGGATCCCCACTGTCATGAGCCTCTGGAATAAGTAAAGAAATCATATGAAACCATCCCACATTCGGAAACTCTTTCTTGCACACGTTGTATATCGCGGAAAGAGATAGAATATCTTTTGGGGAATATCCTATAAAGAATATTCTATGATATTCTATGTATCCCGTGGCGGATGTAAAGGATTGTTTCATTCGTTTTTGTGTTGTTTTTGATTGAGAAATATTCTATCTTTCAGCAGGTCACTATGAGGGGTGGATGCCTCGAAAAAGATGCTCTTCGGGCAAACATTGGATTCTGCTGATGGGATGAAACCGATGGCATCTTTAGCCTTCTTCAGCCTTCTCTCCACGTCAGGGCCGTTATGTTCGCCCGTTCGAAAACAGTTGAGTGCAGCCAAAGCACCGTGTCCAGGATGAGATCACAGTCACACGTGTTGAGTGTCAACCTGATGCGAGGCCGCTCCGGTCACGGTTTCGAGCTGAGCCAAGCGATCGCCCAGGCGATCCGAAATGCAGTTGGGCCACATGTCGCTCATACCAGTACTGGACCTGGCTAGCACAAAGAGGGGAATATCATCTCTTTAATTGCAATACATCTGGAATGGAAAGGCATCTTCGGGCAACACTTTTTTCTATGATCCTACATCCCAGCACTTCTTTTGACCTGGGGATGCTCTAACCCAGACAGCTTTACGACAAAAGCATGTGTGGGTCTAAAATTCAATTGGGTCCACACTCGAGCACATCGTGTTTCCTTGCAGATTTGCTTCTTTAAGGTTAGGTATAGGATTGATGTTTTCGGCAAAACTTTCGATTCCCAAGACGGGACAGGGGTGGGGAGAAGAAAATCAACCAAACCTCGTCGGACACTTTTTCTGCTACTCTAATGGTGACAGCAAAGGTTTTACAGTAACAAAAGCTGGTCTGACACAAAGTGAGACAAATTGACCGAGGACCATGCACCTCCAATAATAAGACATCTAAGACAACCTCTTGGATACGGCATGTTTCGTTTTTTTTGGAGTTTGCTGCTTCAAATTCTTGGAGGTTTGGTACGCTGCTCACTTTTGAGGGCAAACTCTTCAATTCAAAAGGTCGGTTGTGGGGAGGGCACGGCACCTCCCCCCAAAAAAGCAAAAAGGAACACGTATTCTCGGTCCAAATGCGCCGCGTTTTCTGGCTTCTAACGCTCAAAACTCTTCATGGAGGCGTCGTTGGTGTCTTGCTTTTGGGAGCCAAATGCAAAAGGTAACAGAATAAAGGACAAGGAAAGGACAGCTGCGAAAACGAGAAAGGCAAACAAAGGAAAGGAACACAACAAGGAAAAGGAGAATAACATGACGATCAGAAAAGACTGTTGATCAGATGATCAAACATGGAAAAAGCAAAACAAGAAACATCTGACCCCGCCACGGAAAGCAAGGTAACCAAGGCTCTGGGTGAGTGCAGTGAGTGCAGTGAGTGCAGTTGCAGTAAGTGGTAGTGTGGTGGAGTTCAGTTAGTGAGAGCCGTGAGTGTTGTGAGTTGTGAGTGTTGCAAGTGCAGTCAGGTTAAAAGGAAGTGCCCGTGCAATTCATCTACTGGGTTGTTTCCAAGTGCAAAACATATTCTTCCACTTTTTGGGTTAAGTGCTTGGGTTAGAAACATGTAGTGTCCCTGGGCTTTGCAAAGTCCACACACCACAGGCACCAATTTCTGCCCATCTCAGGCTCCAACGACGCCTGCAGCTCAACCTCCAATGACGATTTGGCAATTTTATTCAGCAGATTCCACACTTCAAATTGAAGTTGAGAAGTCTCAGCACAAGACCCGAGAATTGAAGAAAAGAAACATGAGGAGTCTCGGAAACACCTTTCAAGAATACTAGTAATAAAGGGCATCGCGGGCATTACTACTACTAGTAGCAAGAAGGCTACTAGAATGCCTGTGATTCCAAATCGCATACACGATGCCGCATACGGCTACTAACAAGAATGCCACATCTGATTCTTCGGCATCCGGCCACTTTAGGACCTAACCCTTCCTTATTAACTCTATATATATATGTATATGCTCATGGAACTTATTTGATAGAACAAGGAAGGGTAGACAATTTTTGTCCAACATATGTGCCAAGTATATGTCTTGGAGAGTGTGCATTACTTCAATGCAGCTCTCGCGCCTTGCGTCGGCGCTTGGGCGCCGCGACCGCGCGGCGGGCGATTCTGGTTGCCGCGACTGCCACTGGTGCAGCCAAGGCCGCCTGAGACATAAGGGGCACCAAAAAAGGGTAGGAAATAAGAGTTCATTGAGACGCAGCCTTACCTTTTTTTTAATCTCATGTTTGAGACCCATATGAAACATTGCACAAAGCAGATCGTAGCACAGGAATAAGTCCAAGACCAAATACTGTGCGTTGATTAAGTAGCTTGTAGACCAGGAGGCTGAGAAAACTTTTTGGGAGCCAACAGTTTCAAGACAGCCGTGTCCGGGAGAAGTGGTCCCTTAAATTAAGGGCACTGGCCTACTAGTAGCGATGGCCTCCAACCTAATAGGAATGGCCTCCAACCTAGCTTAAGGTGGAGAATGTTTCAACACCAGAGGTGGAGCTGGGGAACCTTCAGGTTTGGCCAGCCATGAGCACTCCCTTGAGCAACTCGAATCGACAGTCAACTGGGTGGCACACCTTCCAGGACCAAGTGGACGAATGACTTCCAGCCTCAAGCGAGAACAGGCAAGACTTCTGGCTGCCACAGTGTCATGATATTGTGATGTAAGCGCCCAAAATACGGCAAGCGAAGTAAGCGGCAACTTGAGCAATGGAGGAATGATGAGGAATACATGGCAACTGGACCTTCCAGACCTGCCAGTGACTACCCTGCCCGAGCCTGAAAAACTGATGCGCTATGTGCCCCTCCTTGCGGTGCCAAGGGGAGCCATCTAGGTGCAGCCGAGAGTGCCATCACTAACTCTGCAACTCCACAGCCAAACGCTGTGGACATTCGGCATCCACATATGAACCATGCAAATGAAAACACATGAAAAATACATTCCCCGCGGTAGAAGCACAAACAGGGACAAAGAATGACAAAGATACCCCAAACAAGATCTACAGCCCCAAAGACGGAAAGAAAGAAAACCACGAAAGGTCAAAAGGTCGAAACACAAAGAGATTTGTTTTGTAACTAGAAGCTACTAGGTGGAGGCCATAGCAGGGAGGCCATCGCTACTAGGGTGGAGGCCATCGCTACTAGGTTAAAAGAAAAGGTGCCAGTTCTTTTTCATTCAGGTCTAGGAGTCTTGGATCTTTCATGTCTGCTTCGAGAGCGGATGTTTTAGCCGGTAAAGGGCCTTTGAATTCGCACTTCGCAAGACTGCCCACGAATTCGGCGACCGAGAGACGTTCTCTTTCGGCCCCGGAAGACTCGCCGTCGTCCGGGGCCACGCATGGCCACGCCAGTTAGGCTCAGGCTCTGCACCCTCCAGTTTCTGATTTGCGTCGAAGAGAGAAAAAACGCGACGATGAGCCAGGTCTTAATCTTCTGGGCCTTTCAGATTAGGGGGAAGCCATTCCTATTAGGTTGGAGGCCGTCGCTAGTGCGTTGGATAGGAGGCCATTATTATGTCTTAATCTTCTTGGCCTGAACAATGCAATTCTTGAAGGTCCGTGATTCTTCAGACCTCATGTGCCAAAGCACGCGGTCCGTTGGGTCTTTGGAATGACGGAAGTCTTCAGCCGTGTTGGCGTCCATGGTTTCCTGAGGGCAACTGTGGGGAGAAAACCACAGAAGCAAGAGCTAAAATGCAAAAGCAAATGTTAGATATGCACACCCTCCCGGAAAATGTCGATTCTTGCAGCTTCTCAAGTCCAAAAGCTGTCGACCGCAGTCCTTCAATCGCTGTCGCATGTACTGACAATACTCCAGAATCACACGATTCACTTCTGCGTCTGCCTGGGTCCAGGACAGCCAATCAGATTTCCTTAGTACACGGATCTGATTCTTCAAAACACCAAAGCACCCACCAGGCCAGTCATCTGAAGCACAAAAGAACTAACAGACTAGTCCAGCCAGTCGTCGTATATTTCTCTGGCGGTGGCCATTTGTTCAGCTCCCGCATCCGGTTCTTCAGGGCCGGCGAATACCAGCCGTTGTTGATAAACCATGAGATGCGATAGCAACGAACAAAGGACCGCATTGGGAAGCCTTGCCAAGAATTCGACACCAATACAGCAATGGCCACCCTAGGAGCAGTAGCCTCCAACCTAAGAGCAATGGCCTCGAGGAAGACTTCGAGGCTTAGCTTACCGCCTGAACCGATGCTCACCAGGCCCAGCCTCGCTCATTAAAGCGCAGCTCAAAGTCTTCCAAAGAAGAACAGTTGTACAGATCGTATTCCTCAGTATTTACGGGCCACTCAGTCAATTTTCTCTACAAAGTGTTTGCGCAAGCTCGATCCTCGTCTCTGGGCTTCAATCACACTTGACACTTAGTCGATACTCAGACAAGCATCTTTGCGACCTTTGCTGTCCTTCTTGTCACTCCAACTTGGTGGTTGGGAGACATTGCGACCGATGCCCACCGGGTTCTCTCGAAAGCTGAAGCCATGTCGCGCAATCATCTCACTGTTTGAGAGCCTCCCAGGCCACAGAAAAATCTCTTCCCCTTTGGGCATGTCTCTGCGCGCGATTTGAAGAACCAGATCTTCTTCGCGTTTCCCATTGATCACGATCTCCTCTTGGAACCCGATGGACACGCCAGGATTCGGATGCAACGCCACATCCAAGAGCTCGGGCAACGGAAAAATGTACATGCCTGAAGACAAGACAATACTAGTAACACGTGCATCGCTACTTGTAGCTTCTCAATACTAGTAGTTATGCACTTTTTGAATATTATAAACAACATGCAACAAAGCCACAGCGACAAAGGCTCAATCAATATCGTGGAGGAATCGAAAGCAAAGGTGGGATCATACGGATGAACAACCCCGGTGGCTCCCCAAAAGTGGTGGATCATGGGGAGGATGCCCCACAAAGGCCAGCGAAGCATGGTGGGCATACTCTGGGGCCCAAGACTAAGATCATGTCTACATGTCAAAATCAAAAAGCACGCCATTGCCTCAAGAAACGCCGAACAAAATGTCTGAATCACGAACAAAAGGCAAAAGAGAAAAAGAACACAAACGATTTTTGTAAAAGAACTCATGAACATTGGGCATATCGGCACAAGTAGCAGTGGATGACAAACCCCAACCAACAATAAAAATTAGGAACAGTCAAAGATGAAATGTCTAAAGAAAAGAGCAAGCACAAGGAGAGCAAACACAAGGCCCAAAGGAAAAAAGACATGGTCCGTTCAGGAAAAATATCCAAAGGAAAAACAACATGAAACACAAGTTGCTTTTTCCACACAAGTAAGAACACACCTAAAGAAACAAAGAAAAACGAAGAATCATGCCTCAAGAACGGTTTCTTTCGTCTATTCTGGCTCCCCGAGCCCAATCCCTACGGGCGAAGACTGGTGACCAATGAGTTAATACATTGTAGCCCGGGATAACCTGAAAACGGATCAAGAACATACTAGTAGCTTCTGGTTACTAGCAATGGCCTCCAACCTACTAGCGATGGCCTCCAACCTAAACATGCCCGACGGTTTGGTTTTTCTCTAAAGTCGCACTTGACAAAAAGCAATTAACAAGGACAGGGCCATAAATCAATTCATAGGGGGTTAATTAAATCATAGGGGGTTAAATACTTGTATAATGTGATGATCACGTTGCCCGCAACAGGCTTGTCTGAAGCCGGCTTCTGCACCCTTGCCGGGCTGCTTGCCATTCCCCTATTCTTAAGACCCCAAAGGTGACAGTCACCTAAAACATCTAACCATCCGCGGATCCGCACATTCTCGGACCTAAGCTTTCAGGAAAGCCGCGTGGGTCGCGCACTTCTCGCTGGTCTTGGTATGGATGGACCACCCGGCCATGGCGCATGATCACGGCCTGGGAAGGGCTATGAACTACGGTGAACTCGTGAAGATAGGCATTTGTGAGGCCAAGTGCAAAGGAATAAACTGAAATTGCAGTGTGCCAAGGACATTTCCACAGGAACTTTTCAACTTCCAGGCACTAATGCCCAGGATGCTTCCTCCATTGAGACCGGTCTCCTGTGCAAGCACTGCAAGAACGGCTGCCAACACCATCTGTCTTAATAACTTAACCATACTTAACCCAAATCACAAACTTGAAAAGAGAGAAATGGTGGAGAGGCCTCTTGAAGAAGGTCAAATTGGGAGCTGTCTGCCAAATCAAGTCCCTTCTCTCGGCCATCTCCTCAGATTGACACATTGCCAACCGCGGTTAGGATGGCTCTGGCAACAAGAAATCATTCTTGTTGTTTTGTGCATTGCAAGGATCTTCTCCAAATGAAAGGTGGCACCGCATCTTACAGTTCTCTTGCTTCCCTTTGTCTCGGGTACGGGTGGAGCCATGGCCTCCAACCTAATAGCAATGGCCTCCATCCTAGTGGCATCTAATAGCCATGGCCTCCACCCAGCGATGGCCTCCAAGCTATAAATTCAAGAAGAGAGACCTGAATGGCTCCTTCCACAGTTGTGCCAACAAGCACTTGCTGCTGGCGACTCGAAAGCTCCAGCGCAAAGACCTTCTCATTCTTGGTGGCATTGAGCCTGGTTTGGATTCAGATCGCCCCCCTACCCCTCTCCAGCCGCTGGTTCAGCTAAGGGACCATTCGATGAACACAGAGTCTGCATCTCTCCTCTCTGCAAGCAAGGTGTAGGCCAAGCTCAGCAAGTGAATATAATCCTCGCCTGGATTGACAGCACGACTTGCTCAGCACGCACAAGTGAGAGATGTCACTGGGAGACCGGGCTTGTGATGTTAAAAACCTTCTGCAATGTCCTCAGTGCAGCTTGGGCAACCAAGAATGAGACAAACAGTGTCAGGCTCATAAGCTACAGTCAAGCAGCATCTCCTCGAATAAGAAACCTTCAGAGTTTCGAGCAACCGTTGCAATTCAGCTCATTTGGTGCTGAAAACGAGAAGCAAATCGCAATCAAGAGAGACGCAGCGAAAGGTCCAGGACACCAAGGAAAACGGACGTTTCATTGCAAACGGTGCGCGGGTCATCTCACTCTTCAGCTTGTCATTCCTCCCGGTTTCCACAGTGATAAGTGCCTGCAAAGGTTTTGTCGCTGTGGAATGAACATTTTGACGTGCTCCTCACCTAAGTTGTTTGTAGCGTTCCCATCAGGAAGTTGTGTTGCAACTGTTGTTGCTTCATTCTGCCTGCCGGGGGATCTTCATGATGGCCCTGCCGTAGAACACGTCGTCAGATAGAACCTGTGAGACAGTGGTAGCGTGCACCTAGCAATGGCCTCCACCCTAGTAGCAATGGCCTCCAACCTACAAGAGATGGCCTCCACCCTGAGCTTCCTATCCGTGTAAGCCAGGGGCCATAGCAGTTCGATTTCGGGCCGGAAGCCCTCCAAAGGCTTTCTCCGCCATGATCTTCCGGCGGATGTGGAGCTGCAAACCTATGCGCTTAGACACCAGCTGCAAACCTATGTGAGGTGTGGCGCAAAACCAAAGAGAGACGCTATGAGGTGTGGCGCCTTGCCGTTGGATTTCCGCCCAAAACTCCTCCCGCACTACAGCCCAAAGGGCAAAGTAGCACAGCAATCCATCAAAATCTGTGCAACGCATCTCTATCTCAATATTTTTTGCGGACAATTACATCAATCAAATGGACCCCAAGATAAACCGTGGCCCCTTTGGCTCATGGCTATCCTTTTTTTTCAAATCCTTTGGGACTCCCCGTCTCCTTGGCCCTTGCCTCGCTGAACTTGGCACTGCATGCCTGCAAGTAGCACGTGGCATTTCCGAAGCCCCAGGTGCAAGTGACGTGGAAAGCTTTTGTGTTGGTAGCAGTCGCTGCAAGTCGTGAAGATCAGAGGTCATTAACAACACGATTTTTAAAGACATGTCTTGTAACAAGAGTTCTCATGGTTTCTGCTTTCCGATTTGAGGTCATTTGAAGGACCTCATTCGAGCAGCTCTCATCGCTAAGACAAACTGCGAACAGCAGGATCACATGGCGGCATACTCTCATGGCTGGGATCTCAACTGTCCAAAGATTTGGTTCTGCTCTCACTAGGACTTCAATGGGCTTCATACTTTTGCACCCCAGTGGTTGCACAACCCACCTTTTATCTCAAAGTTTCCTTTAAGAACACTATGTTCCTCCACGGATGATGAAACGTGTCAGTTCAGAACCGTCATAATCTCGTGCTCGCTTCGTGCTCGCTTGAGCCACAGGAAGCTGGGAGCTTGGGTGATGCACCAAATGGTCCGATGGGCAAACATGCTCCAAACAGGGTGAGGGATCAACAAACATCAGAAGTATGGAAAAACGACGAAAAAAGAAACGGTTCAAAAAACCTATCCCCAGGGAGCTATACAAAAAGACTAGGTGACTAGGGAAAACGGCAGGGCGACAGGGATCAGGCAGCCCGCACAAAAAGGAGATTGAACAAATGGAGGGCACGTAATATTTGGTGTGGAGATGCCATAATGGTGACCTCTTAAAGTCTGTCGGTAATGTAGATTTCGTTCCGCTGGAGAGAGAGGTTGGGGGAGGGCGCAACGTCTCCCCCCACAAGAGCGAAGCAAACATCAAAAGCCACCAACTCAGAAGGCGGAGTAAACCACATGGCGCACAATGAAGTCTACACCAAATGGCCTCCAACCTAATATAGCGATGGATCACGAGGCCGGACCAGGAAAAGGAGGGGGTTAAAGGACCGAAGGACCAGGAGACATAGGGACCAGGGGACCAACGGACTAGGGGACCTACTCAGGATGATGTTCTTGTTTGATCCTGCTATTACATTTTGTTGATCCAGTTCTTTTGATTGTTTCTTTGTTTAATCCTGGTGTTTTTCAATCTAGATTCCTTGTAAACATGGCGGCAGTGAAAATACATTCTGGCCAAGTCGAGGGCGGACTCAGGAAAAACTCGCTTGGAACACTGTTATGTTTTAGAGCTAAGTTGAGGCGGTCCACTTTAAAATTTCGACATAGCAAGACCCAACAAAACACACACCACCCTTTAAACACCAAATGTTACTTGACATCGCTTTAGTCATCGAGTCATCCAATTAAATTTTTGGTCCAGTGATGCTATGCAACGTTGCGCAGCTGCGTGACAGTGTGTGTGTGTGTGCCCCTTCCGCGCTGATTTCTTCAAAGCTTGGGCGCTGCCTTCTCCACACCCGACACGCGCCCAGGAAAGCTCATCGCCCCGGCCGAGAGGGCCTCAAGCACCTGGACGGCAAAGCAAACAAAATGGCACACCATGTGATCTATACAAAATGGCCTCCAACCCAGTATAGCGATGGCCTGCAACCTATATTTTGCGATGGCATCAAAACCCAATATAGCGATGGCCTCCAAACCCAATATAGCGATGGCCTCCAACCCAG